GAAATCTGAATTGGGTTCTGAGTGATGGGCAGGACTTGAAAAGCTGAAAGACATTATTCCAGGCATCGTTCCAGAAATAGAAGGCAGTACAAATATTTGCATGCGGGGGGTGGTAAATGTGGAATGTTTGGAGGCACACTGTCTAGATCGGTTTAGCTAGAGGACACTAAATTGAGGTATACAAGACAGGGAGGGCTAAGAAATAAGGCTAGATGACAGGTATAGGAAGCCTAGACCATCAGCCTGGATTTTATCTCATAATAGGATTAACTAGTTTAAAAAAGAAATTAATCTAGAAGAAATGAGTAAGAGTAATCTAAAAGAATTTTTGAGATGACTTTTGTTTTTCCTTTCTCCATTTCCCTACTCCTCTTCAGCCAGAGTGATCTCAAGAATGACATAACTCTATCGTACAATTTTGAAGTGTCTTTCTTCTCAAAACAATTCAATAGCTTCACAGTGTCTTTGAAAATCCTAATGACTTAACATATGGCCTTTAGAGATCTGGCCCTAGCTTGCCTCTCCAGGCTTGTCACTTATACCATAAGCATCATTCAAACCCCTTTCCACCTCACTGAAACACTCCTTCACTCCTCAGCCCTTTCCCTTTCTGATCTCAGCTTAGATGTCACTTCCCCAAGGAAGGCTCTCCAAGCTCCTCAAAGCCAGATTAGGTTCCCTGCCATAACTCATATCTCTAAGTCTTTAGGAACTATATCTTATCTGTGGCATATCCTCAGGGGAGGGGTAGTTCCCCTAGCACCTATCAAAGGGCCAGGAACAAAACAGATGCTCAAAAATATATGTTAAAGAATGAAAAAGACAGGGGGTATAAAAAATAGGAGCCTACCTATCACACAATCATAAAGTAGTAAGACTTAGCCACTAAGTTCAAGGATAGGCTTGTGACAATGGAAAAGAAAGGATGAATAGGGGCACAATAAAAATGCTAAATGGGAAGTTCACAAACCTGAATCCTGACTGAGTTGATGCAATTCAGTATACACAATTAGGAGATTCATCTAACTCAGCAGTGTCCAAATCCTGACTGATCATCAAAATCACCCAGGGATAAGGATGATTTTTTGTTTCGATGTGTTTTAATTTTTCCTGATAATTCTGTCATAACTACATCTAACCAATATTTAGGAACTATTCACCTGTATGTCCTGTAAGGCAACTTTCAGCACTAAGTTCTAATTAAACCAAGATATCCACAAACAAGTAATTGATAACAGGACTTGGTAAGTAACTAAATCTAAGAGCAAAAAGGATGTTATTATACAAATTAGATTTTTTTTTAGTGGGTTGGCCTAGTCACAATTTGCATATAAAAGGCAGCCAATAAACACTAGATTATCAAATGAACGAGGTGAGCAGTTAAGAGTAGATTTGATGTTGGATTTGAGTTTCTCCCAACTGTGGCTCTACCAATAATTTGTCCTTTAGGGCTATGTCAACAGAACTCTCTTCCTTCTTGCCTCAAATGGGTATTTGTATTTGACACTGCTATTTGGGCTATTACAAACATTATCTCTTCTGTGGGTTACAGCACCCAGTTTCTCTTTAAAGAATTACCCTCCCCCATTTTGTAGTCCTACAAGAACTATAATCAGGTCTTGACTCTCTCTTAGACTTTGAAAGCCTGAGTGTCCTAAGAGCAGAGAAATCAGTTGGTGTTTATCATTGTTGCAGTGGCACTAAGTTAATTCCTGCTTCTGAGATCCTTGGGCTGCCCTGGTTTCTCACCATTTAACTTGGCCTTGTTCTCAGACCATTACGTCTAGAAACTATCCAGTATCCTTCTAATAAATCCCCATTTAATAAGCCATTATAAATTTTTGATAGTTGCAAAAGAACAAAAACAGAGAGGAAGAAATGTGATCCATGTAATTTTGAATTTTATCATGGCGTCATAAAAAAAAAGAAACAGATGAAATTAATTTTAATGCTACATTTTATTTAAACCAAGACATATGAACTATTATTTCAACATCATCAATATAAAAACCACTGAGACATTTTGTTTTGTTGTTCCAAGGCTTTGAAACGTACCATGTATTTTACATGTATAGCTCACCTCAACTTCGACACTAGATTTTCAAAGGTTAAAGTGAAATGTAGCCCTTCCAAAACTAAAATGTGTATAATGAGAAAATATTTTACACTACTCGTTTTTAAATTTAACTAAAATTAGGGGCGCCTGGGTGGCCTAGTCATTAAGCATCTGCCTTCGGCTCAGGTCATGATCCCAGGGTCCTGGGATCGAGCCCCGCATCTGGCTCCCTGCTCTGCGGGAAGCCTGCTTCTCCCTCTCCCACTCCCCCTGCTTGTGTTCCCTCTCTCGCTGTCTCTCTGTCAAATAAATAAATAAAATCTTAAAAAAAAAAATTTAACTAAAATTAAATATTCAGTTCCTCAGTCACAATAGCCACATTTCAAGTGCTCAGTAGCTATATACGACTAAGCTTACTGTATTGGGCTGCAGTCTTAGATCTGCTACAAGAGTGAAGAGACTCAGGGGACCTTTTCTTGATGTATCTAGTAACTGGAAGAATTGGGAAGTTTTCACACTTCCAACAAATTCCATTATGAACGGATTCAGAATTGTGTGAAGACCTACAGAAGTATCTCTTCCCCCAAAATGGTATTTCCTTGACTTTGTAACTGAAACAGGTCAACACATTATTGAGTGTGAGAGTCATCTTCTGTATTCTATAATTTAGTAGCAAAGAGCTATCAAGGAGTTATCTTTCCAGTCAGGTGGTTTAATTCAAAGTTAAAATTACATTACTACTCTTAAGTCACTTCTCATTTATTACATTTTGATGGGTGGGAAGAGCCTTTGGTGACTAGTTTTAAGTATTTCCATTGTCAAATAAAAATGTAGAAATTTGAGTAGCAGGTTCAAGAATTTGACATTTATCCCTCAGACAGTAAGTTGTTATAAATTTTGGAGTTGGAGAGTGACATGATGAAGCCACTGTTTCATGAAAATGAATCAGAATCCAGTGTGCAAGTAGACTGGTAACAAGATGTCCATAGGGAAGGTGTGCAGCTCCTAGCATCCTTAGCTGATGTACATATGCTCTTATTTCTGCCAGGAATTGTTTTCCTCTTAAGTTGTCAAGACATATGCTCATCCTTCAAGATCTAGTTCATAGTCAGGCAGTTTCCTGGATGTAGAGAGCAGACGGGGTCACTTCTTCACCTCTGCCCCCACAGAACTTCTTTCAAAATTCTAAACAGAAGTCAAATTCAGAGATAAAAAATAGAATGGTAGTTACAGAGGAGGAGAGAATGGGGAATTAATGTTTAATGGGTACAGAATTTCAGTTTTGCAGGTTGAAATGTTGTTAGAAGGTGGAGCAGAGACAATAAAGTATCCCCCAAACTGAGAAGGCATTTTGAGACTGGAAAACGAAGCAGGTCACTCCATACAGTTTACACAGAGTTTCATTCAGGGTAACTTACTGACAAGGGGGATTGGGCAGAGAACAATCTGCAGCAGCTGCATAGTTACTCTCTGAAAAATCCACACCTTAATGTACAAATTTTATAAAGGGAAGAGACATGCAGAAGGGCATTGTACTGAGATCAAAGGGTTCAAACGCACCTCAAAGGGCTTGCACACACCTGACAGCTAACCTTCAGTTATCTATTGGCACCACCCGTGTCAAGAAGGGGAGAAACTACATTATCTCTAACAAATTAATGAGACGCCAAACAAGCCTCTCCTCATCCCAGCCTTTGTGGGCATTTCTAAGGTATGTATATTCATCTCCAAGGGGACTGGGACATATAACCCCAAGAGAGGTCACTAAGGAAACATGAACAAGATGGAGTTAGTATTGTCAGAACTCCTACAAATGTGTCCCATGTATGCATGGAAGTGACGGTAGCACAAAACTAAGATTGATTGGAAGGCTCTTCCTGAGGCTAAATTGTCCCCTTTCAGATCTCAACTACAATGTCACACCTTTAACAGTCCCTCCATTTTCCAGGCCAGAAAGGTTTAGGTGCCTTTGCTATACCCGCTCATGAACCCCATACTTTTCTTACAGGGTTATTATTATTATAATTGTTATCTATCGCTAATTATGTGGTGTATTAGTTTGCTCTGGCTACCATCATGAAACAGTACAGACCAGGTGGCTTAAAACTTTATTTTCACAGTTCTGGAGGCTGTAAGTTCAAGATCAGGGTGTCAGCAGAACTGATTTCTTCTGAGGCCACTCTCCTTGTGTGCAGATGGCCATCTTCTCGTCCTTGTCACATAGTGTTCCCTCTGGATGCATGCAACCCTGGGGTCTCCTTGTGTCTAATTTCTTCCTCTTATAGAGACACCAGTCAGACTGGATTAGGACCTACCCTAAGGGCCTCGTTTTAACTTAATCACTTTTTTAAAGACCCTATCTCCAAGTACAGTCAGAATCCAATACAAAACTCTGATGAATTTTGGAGGGACACAATTCAACCCACAACATGATTACCTCTATTGTTCCCACTCGGAAAATTATGACAACTCTTGTCTTGTTCTCATTTCAGGACCTTTCAGTTGCTATCCCTTCTTCAACTCTTCGCAGAATAGGTTTTTCTCAACTTTTAAGCCTTAGCACTATCACCTGACAAGGGCCATCATGGACCACCTTACCCAAAGTAACCCTACAAGTCACTGTATCCCATCATTTTCTTTCTTCCATGACACTCACCATTAAGGTCAGCTGCAGGAAAGGGAGGTCGCGTGTCTTTATGCACGGCTGTAGCCCAGTGTCTCACACTTAGTTATGAGCGAGCTTCAATAACCACTTACCATATCATAATGACTTTATGGACGCCACTGAGAAAACCTGCCAGGCCAGGGCCATGATTTGGGGGGGGTTTTATGGTTTCTTTTTTTTTTCTTCACCAAGTTGTCTGGCTCTGGGCTCTCACACTTATCAGCTGTGCGAACGCGGGTAAGTGCCTTAACCTCCCTCCGTAGGCCTCAGGGTCCCTAAGGACATGACAACACAGTGTCCCGAGCTGTAAGCCAGCGCCAAGAACGCGGCGTGGGGCAGCTAGCCGCTGGCACGGCCTCAGGCCCGCTGCTCTCCTGCGAACGGTGTGGACGTCGTCTTCGGGTGGGCCGCGCAGCATTGAAGCTACCGTCTCCCCAGTTCTCTGGGCCAGGTGGCCGCCCGTCCTCGTGCCTGTGGGTTCGTCTCGGGCTGTTTCGCAGAACCTCAGAGTCGGAGACGCGCACACGGCCGCAAACGGTGACTCCAGCACGGTTTTCCATCGCATTTCCGGAGCCCGGACTGCCCGGGTCTGCACCCGCCTCCCTCCCTCCGACTCCCGGGCCAGCGGAGCAGCCTTCGCAGGCCTCAGTGTCCTCCACGTGGGAGAAACGGTTACGCGGGCCGTGGTGCAGGGGCCGGGAAGCCCGTCGTCCGCGACGCAAACGCGTGTCAGACGCGGTCCTACCGGGACAGTGCGGCGAGCGTCTCAAAGGTCTCGCCAGCTCCACTGGGTCGGCGAGGCGCGGCGGGACTCGCCACCGGCCGCTCCCAGGGGCCAAAACTCCGGCCTCCTCCGAATGAGGCCTCTTTAGACGTTCCCCTCCCCACGTCAAGTGGCTCTCACCCCTGCGTGTCCTTACCCCGAGCTCCTCCGGGAGGCGAGGGCTCCCTGAAGTGACGCGCGGAGATCCCGGGACGCGCCAAAGCGCGAGAAACGGGGGCGGAGCCACGGGGCGGGACGACGTGAATTGCGTGAGACGGCGCCACGACGCACGCAGCAGTGGGCGTGCGCAGCGGGGGCTAGTGCTGGAGCGCGGCTCCGAGCAGGAGCCAATATGGCGGCCGAGCGGAAGACGAAATTGTCCAAGAACTTGCTGCGCATGAAGGTGCGGGGACGCCGGGGGGCGGGCCGGGCAACAGGGGTACCTGGGCTTCAGGACCTGGCAGGGGCCGACGCGGCAGACGCGCCGGGGCACCAGGGAAGCCGCGGAGGGCCTCCAGCTTGGGCATTCATTCATTCACTTAGCGCTTGCTCTGCCTCAGGCACTGGGAACTGGATTATACACCCGGCGGATTCCCTCATACAGCCTGCGGTGGGATAGGAAAAAGACACGTAAGCAAGCAGGATGCCGTGGCACTGAGTGCGGTGATGCTCGGAGCGTCGGAAGCCCCGGAAACTTACTTGGCTTCTGTGGGAAGTGGCCCTAAAGTAGAGATTGAAGGGTAGGTGGGAGGGTGGCCTCAAGGCAACGTAAACCCAGGGAAAAGCGAGTTCAGAAGTCTGAGACGCAAAAATCCAAGAAATCCCTTGCGATTTCCAAGAACTAAAGATAATTCGGTATGTCTGGAAGGCAAGTAGCAAAAAGTGGGTCTGGAAAAGTAGCTAGTGGCCACGTGAGGAATTTTAGGCCAGATTAAGAATTTTTTTTTCCTTTATTTTGTGAACATGGGGAAGCGATTGAGCACAGGTAACAGCATCTTAGCTGTCCTTTTTAATTTTCAAAGTTACTTTAACTGCCCTCTGGAGAATACATTGGTGAGAGAAAGACCTAACAAGGGACAAAATTGCGTTCAGAAAGAGCAAGTTAGAAGTTCTGATGATCTGGTCGCAGTGGCAGTGGGAATAGAATTAGAACAGTTAAAATGAATGTCATGGACTTTAAGCAAAATTGATTTTTAGATTCTAAATCGAATCAATTTCACAAATAATTTCAAAGTGGAAAAAAAAAAACAAGACAAGGGTAGATAAAAAGGAATACAGAAATTAAAACATGGGAAACAACCAGGCCTTAAAAACTTGAAGAATAATAATAGCAAACATTTATAGTTTCTGGTAGGTGCCAGACAGCTGTTCTAAGTGCTTTGCATATATCAGCCCATAAAATCCACCTAACTCTGAGGTAGATAACACTTATTACACCTCTCTTAGAGCTGAAGCACTGAAACAGACAGGTAAGTAACTTGCCCAAAGTTACACTGCCAGCAAGTAGTGTAGACAGAACCAGACTCAGGCAATCTGGCTCCAAAGCCCCTGCTCTTAACTACTGCTCTGTACTGCTTGTCGCTGAACACTACAGCACAGTGTTAGATGTCATGTTTAGAGAATAATTTCCAGAAAAAAGGAAGCAAGGCATAAATAATGTTCTGAAAGATTGGAGAGTAAATGTTGCATGTGCCAGATTTGGAGTTGAGCTAGGGTGTAACTAGGGATGAATAGGGTGAGTGAGGGTGTAGGGTAAATCATGTAACTTATGGTTTCTAAGGTACTTCTTTCATACATATTAGCAAAATTTGAATTTTTACCCAACAGAGTCTTCTTTTGACTTATGGTTTATAATCAGAGAATTGGGTTGGATTAGCAAAGCAGGCAGATCAAATGAAGATGTGCCTGAGTGATTAGGACTCAGACCAAAGATCTGACTAAAGAGTTAGGAAGGAAGAAGTTACCTTAAAAGTATCAACCCCTACCCCAGTGGGGGGAAGACTCAACAGGACTTCGGAAGCAAAGGAGGGGGGGGAAATATTACACAGATTTTCTAGTTGGGTTAGCAGCTTCAGTCATTGATGAGAAAGAACTTATTGGCAGGACAGCAGGAAATAATATATATACAGATAGAAGAGTGTCCTGTGAGAATGAATGGAGCACTGCATTAGGTTGCTGTATCCAGTGTAACTAGCTGTTCAGAGTTGAGAGTTGAGAATTTAATACTAATACATTTGTTTTCAAGTGTACCTGAAATCCTCTGCCTTGGTCACCTGTTGGGAACTGGAGGGTGATCCTGATGGGAAGTAGAAAGTGAAGGATGGGGACCCCTGGGTGGCTCAGTCGGTTAAGCGTCTGCCTTCGGCTCAGGTCATGATCCCAGGGTCCTGGGATCGAGTCCCGCATCGGGCTCCCTGCT